ATTGTGTAAAAAGAGCTTCTGAAGAGCTAAGATATCTCAGTTTCCAAAAAAAATAATATAAACTTTTTTCATGTCCCCTCCCCTTTACAGATAACGTCATTCAATATCGTTCAATTTCGATACATAGAAATGTTGTCACAACGGCCAGGACCCAAAGACCAGAATAGAACACGTTTTTGGGCATTACATAAGCGGGAGTAGCTTCTTGAGCGGAGGGATCGGTGGGGAAGAAGATAAGGACAGAGCACGGGACACGGGCAGGATTATGGGTCGAAAACAGGAAAGCAGACTAAACAAAAACCGGAAGAACAGGAAAAAGTGGGCGAAAATTTCAAAAAGTGGACAGAGCAGAAGGAGAAGCAGCCGAACCAGAAGGTGGAAAGAAGAGCCTGTCCTCCGCCCACCACTCACAAGTCTTTTTATTCTACCTCTTCTTCTTCCTCTTGCTTCGTGCTCACTCGCTCTCCTGCCTAGCAAAAACAAAAAAAGAAGCAGCATAATAGCGTAGAAGAGCAATAAACAGAAAACGATGTGCTCACTAATACAATACCAATGGTCGGAGCTCTCTGTTCGTTTGTGTGCGTCTGTGTGTGGGAGTGGAGTGAGAGTATGTACAAAGCAGGCAACTGAAAACCACGAGCTGCTTTCAAGGTCTGGTCTGGTCTCTCTTTCTCTCTCTGCTCTGCCGTCCAGAACCTGCTCCTCTGCTGTGGCTCTCTGCTGCAGTTGTATGACGTCGTTGCCCTTGGACTTGCACTTGAAAACCGATGGAGTTGCATGCCATTCTAATGCGCGCGCACCTCCTCCTGCCCACCGGGACAAGCAGCGGCGCGAACAGCGACGGCGGCAGAGACTGCAGCTGCAGCCGAATGTTGCAAATTTCGTTTTCATGCAGCAAATTTCAATTTCATGTTATAAAATGATTCGCGTGCAAATGTATTGGTGGTTCTCTTATGCTTTGCTTCTGGTAAGTGTGCGTGTGTGGAGAATGTGCAGCGTGCATATATTTAGCTCTTTGCCGTTCCTTTCCAACTTCCTTTTCGTTCTGCTGCTTCGACTTGCTGCTTCGACTTGCTGCTTTTTATTTTACTCTTTCGCTGCTAGTGTATGGTTTCACCTCTATCACTCTCTCGCACACTATCCGCCAGCAGCGGCAGCAAATTGATGTTGAAGGTCAGCGTGTTAGCAAAAATTACATTAAATTTACATGCGTGTGTGTGAGTGGATATGTATAGTAGATTCATACATGTGCATGCTACAATGTGTATGTGCAACTTATCAAACTTTGTCACATACAAATTTTGAAAGAGGGAGTTTGTCTAGGTTTAGTATCCCCGAAAATCATGAACGCCAACTAAAAGTCATATAAGGATGGAAGAGCCCCACTCCACTGTGTGCAGAGGCCAATAATTTCTTTCTATTGAAGCTGGATACTTACTGGTATTTAATCGATTATCATTTTCATTTCATTCAAGAGAGCTGATTGACAAACAATCAAATGGCTCAGCGAAATGTCTCCAAATTAACTGATGTAGACAAAAGTTGTTTGGCAACGGTTTAACTATCATTAAAAATAGGATATAGCCTACAATTTGTTGTCGTACAATGGCTACTTTTCAGTTTCTCAGGACACATAAATCTCCATTTTACAGATCCGACACCATTTGTCTAATTTTCACTTTCGCTTACTTTATTTTACATCCAACCAACCATCCTTACCGTAATTTTCCCTTTTTACTGTCGCGCCATACCTGGCGGACGCAGCGTACCTGAAATATGTGAGCCTCAGAGTCTTCGGAGGGGCGGAGTTTCCCCGTTTCCCAACGGATTCAATGTGAAAACTCAGTGGAAATATTATTTCCACCAGATGGAACAACCTTTATATTTATTACTTATATTTTGTATATGTACATGTGTGGTGTATACCAGCATACAAAAAATAACCCCGAAAATGCTCAGACAAAAAGTGCGTGCGCTGCCTCCTGCCACCACCTACATACCCCTCCTACTCGTTCGTCCTTTCCCTCGTCGCGGTGGTAGCCACAAAGGACAAATGAAATTTCAGCTCACAGTTGCCGTCTCGCTCACTTTCACTTGGCGCAGCAGAGAAAGGTCCACACAAAGGCGGCTACAACACAAAGTGGGAGGGAACCGTAAATCCTGACAAAACTCCATCTTTTGGATGGAGTTTTAAGGAAAAAAAATTCTGAATGTTTGCTATGGAATGTTCGTATTTATTTAGAGGTAATCTGAAACTGTAATACGGGTAAAAATCTCAAATGTCTGCATTAAAAGTACCGTAAAAGTTAAAAAACGGGGTCCTTAGTGATTCTCTCTAAAAAAACATAAAAAATTCCATCTGAGAAGGAAAATAAAGATCAAATTTTGTATCCAAATGTACCATGGATTGTACTAGGAAAGAATTTTTAAGAAGAATATGTACCTTTAAAGTTTACACCGTTTTAGAATCGACCGTTTCTGTCCGTATTAATCTTCGATATATACTCATTCGTACAGATTCGATGCGGATAACAATCCCTTTCAGAACTTTATGCCAATATGTATGTCTATGGGGCGAATGCTGACTTCATTTCGCTTATGTAAGCAGAAGCAGCATGAAGCAGACCCACATCTGTCCCAGGGGCGCGGGATGGAGAATGGATTGGGAAACGGGGGACGGGACTCAGATCTGACCCAAACCCGAATCCAACCCCTACTCTTCAGTTCTCCTCCCCCAACAATCAAGGGCTCGACAAAATGGAGTTTGGGTTATTTTTGGCAACGAAACGAAATTACGACACCCTCTCGCAGAACAGAACTCTCTCCCGCCTATGTATTGTGTGTACATATATGCATACTGTTTATCGTTATATACTCGACTCGGCTTGAGGTTGGGTTGAGTCGGGGTTGCCATAGCAGCCGCATGTTAAATTTCAAACCCTATTTGGGTTTCAAAGTTGCTTCCGATTGGATAAATGCTGGAGTATGAGTAATTACAAATAATGCTTTTCTGCATTCAGAATGTTGGGTTGCGTGTGTGGATAGGGTGTGCGTAGGGGTATGGGTGGGTGGTCTGTACATCTGCCTGAAACACCCTCAGGACGAAGGACAGGACTCTGAACTGAGTCAAGAGAGGATGAATAAATGGTTGAATGGTAAATGCTTGGCTGTTCTGTGGTTTGAGATAGGGGATTGTCTATCTTTACGCGAAATATAGAGTGAGAGTGAGAAAGTATCTTGCAGATACTCTTGGGCCACCGCAAAGCTACTTTGAGAAACACGCTTTCACACCCTGAAAACAGGAAGCCAAGAAACACGCAAAACCTTGGCCAGGCCTGGCAACCCTAAACAAACCCCCAAACCCCGAACGTTCTCCATTAATTATGCAAATTTAGCATGATATGATGCGAGTCGGCGAAGAATTATAGCTCCGACGATTCTCCACACACGCACATACCTTCTACATAATGAAGTCTCCATTATATCTGTCCTTTCTTCCGCTTCTTCTGGCCGCTATGGTGATTAGGTCATAAAATTAGGTCAGATCGGTGAGCGGAGAGGAGAGGGCTCAGCGAAATCCTTGAGAACTAAGCAACAACAAACTAGTTCATCTTTTGCAAGCTCTCTTTTGTTCTCTTCTTTGCACACGATTCCTATAGCTAGAACAACAAACCACTCTGTGACACAAACACTCGTGAAATGCACACGTATTACGCAATGGCTACGATCTGCCTACCTGACTGACTTAATAATTATATCAGATTCAGCCCCTCTCTCTCTCTCTCTCTTCCGGCAGGTAGCAGAACAAAGGACGAGATCTTGCCCCCAAGTCAGCCACTGCCACCAGATGGACCTTGACTTTGCACCAAACCCAGCACCAGAACCATCCAGATCCTTGCAGATCCTATAAGCAGCCCTTACGATCCAGCTGGAATACTGTCCTCCTCTTACCATTCCACACGTGCCCTTATTTTGCTGTTTCTTCGCCTTCTTTTGGTATACATACGTGTTTTTTTTTTAATTATTTGCAAAACGCGCAGCGGGAGCGCAGTACATAGAGGATGTCGGGGATACAAGAAAAAAGGCCAAAGCGAAAGGCCTAACGACATTGGAGGATACCCTACGTCATGGGAGGAACTTGAACGTACGAATTCTACTAAACTAGAGAGATTTATTATGGTCGATCATTAAAAAACACAGAACAATTTAAATTTAAGAAAAAAAGAACACAATTTTAATTATGTATGTACATATCTCTGCCTTATTCCATGAGTGCAGGGCGATCCCCGTTTCCAGGTGGCCGGTTCTCCTCCTCTGTATTTTGTCTTTGCTGTTGTTTGGATATTTTTTAATGCCTCTTTCATTGTCGTTATTCGTTGGCCATTGTGTGAACGTGCACAAGTGTGTGTGTTTTTGCACATACGGGAATTATATAAAAAAATCTTTATGTAAAGAGAGAGACGGATACATAGATCTGAGACCTGGAGCAGTTATTTGGGTGGACATATTCTCCATTCCCCGCCGAATGAACAGATTAACTATGGAAAGCAAAAGTGAGAAACACTCGACAACCCTGTCCATGTTTACTTTGCTTGCAGGTTTTTGTACGCAGTCGAACATGTTGGAGGGGAAGCAGGCGCGTTTGAGCCACATTGAAAGTGAGATTCGTCTCGGCATCAGTCAGTCAACCCCCAACCCAATCAACCCCCAGAACATAGCACTGTTTAGTGCCAAAAACATTCTACACATTTTCCTCAAATGAAAAACAAGCATTTTCGGGCGGTGGAAAGTGAAACGCAGCCAACCAAATTTTGCTCTTTTCAAACATGTTCGATCGTGTTGCACAACAGCAGTTTGTTGCCGCGCAACATTTTAGAGCGCAGCAACATTTGATGGTGGATGAAACATGTTTGGTTTGAGCGTTCGGTTCGACGGTGAATAATTTCCCCATCCAAAACGCAATCACCATCGAACTCGAATCCAGCTCCGAATCGTCAAACCTGAAAAATGTAGCAGAAAACAGCAACAGAAAATGAGAATAGCACATTTTGTTTTTGCCTCTTGGCCAAGTCGGGCCTTTCTCTCCGTGAAAGTGATAAGCCCACAGAATTTTCTACTGAAGTAGTTCAGAAAAGCCGTGATAAGCGTAGAAATATCCAAATTGATATTTTCAAACAAAAAAATATATATTTATATGTATTTATCAACTTTGAACTTTGTCCTGTGTCCTGGTTGTGTGTTTTATACTCTGAGAGTTGACTAAGTTTCTGTAAATTTGGCAAGAATAACCGTGAAAGTAAAAGTGTCGTGTTTTTTTCGCTCTTTTCCTTCTTCCTTGCCGGCAAAAAAACAGCAAAAACGGTAAAGCAAATCAGAAAACAGAAAAAGACAAAAACCGGCGTCATCACGTCTGTCTTGCCTCCGCGAAGAGGCGAAGAGAGAGAGAGAGCGTAAAGAAAAATGTAAAGAACCGCCGAGAATGTGTAGATGAGAGATAAGCAATAGAAGCAATTTTTGATACTTAAAAATTCTACACAATAAAACACAAAAACTCAGCTCAGGTAACCGCAAAAATAGACTGCAAAAGGAGGAGAAAAACCAACGAAACACTTTTTGGAAATATTTTGTATACACAAGAAAATCCCAACTTTTGGGCGTCCTAAAGTTTACAATAACAAAAAAAAAAAAACAAATTTTTCAAAATGCCGCTCCGACGTAGCGGGAAATAGGTCACAATAGACACAGTAACCTCAACGATCTGATCGATCCGATTGTACATCCTGAACCCTCTATGGCGCCGCGTCGCAACAGCAATATTAGCGGCAATCCTTCCCAGCAGCAGCATCCACAGCAGCAGCCACAGCTCCAGCTCCCGCTTCCGCAGCAGCAGCAGCAACAGCTTCTCCAGTTTTTCACCGAAAACAGCAGCAGCAGCATCAATCCTTCGTCCAGCAGCAGCATGGCGCCCATGCAATTGATGCAGGGCTCCAACGTGCAGCTGGTGCGCTGCTGCTACCCGAGCGGCGAGTGCCGCAAGTTAGATGCCCTGATCGGCCTCACTGAGATGTCGCTGGCGGAGTGCGTCCGGGTGCTGTGCAACAATGAGAACTGTGGCGCGGGGCAGTACATGCACCGCGAATGCTTTGAAGTGTGGGAGGCGGGCGTTTTGCAGACGCTCAAGGCGAGTGGGCGGGCGCGCAGCTGGTCGGAGCGGCAGAGGGCCCAGCACCTTTGGACGAAGAAGGGCTACGACCTAGTCTACAAGGCCTGCAGCTGCAAGTGCGGTCGCGGACAACTTCGAAAGGATCTCGAGTGGTCGGTGCCTGTCTCCAATGGTGGTCTGGTGTTCCTCAATGGGAATGGAAGTGGCGGAGGACGTGGCTCCATGAATGGAAACCTTAGCGAGGACGATGACAAGAAGAAGGCCAAGAAGAAGCGCAATCGCAATGGAAACAGCGGAAACTCCGGATCAGGAGTCGGGAGCCAGAAGAACGGAGTGGGAGTGGCTTTGACCCCACTAAGCACTAACAATAGCAATGGGTACGGTGGAGGCTCCAACGGACTCACCCCGAACCCCAATGTGGGAGTGATCGGATCCGGGCTGCCGCACAACAGCAACAACAGCAATGGAAACGCGAACGGTAACAGTGGCTCCTCGGAGGGGAATGGCTTGCAGCCCAGTGTGGTGGCGACCCTGAGCAACATCCTGAATCCGAACAATGTCCTGGGCCTCGATCTCCGTGCCCGGGCCGGTAGCCTCTCGTCCAGCGGCGCCGGCAGTGGCTCCAGCTCCCCCTCGGCCTCGCAGTCCAGCGCCGACATATCGCTCTCGCCGGTGCAGCAGCTTCTCCAGCAGCAGCAGGCTTCCTCGCTGATCATGCAGCCCATGGTGGCACCTTCAACTACGGGCAATAGCACCCTCCTCCTCCAAAACGGTCTTGGGCTCTCCAAGAATCTGCTATCGCAGCCCCAGGCGCTGCCCGCCGTGGCTAACATCAGCAACTTCAAACCGTTGGTCACCTACGAGCAACAGCAGCTAGTGCAGCAGCAAAAGAACAAGGAGGTAGAGCTCTACTCGGAGCGTGTGCGGTAAGTTCCAAAAATGAGATGAGAATGTGTAAAAAAATGTGCGAATGTGAGTGAAATTCCCCAACATGTGGTCGTTGAACAGGCGTTCAACAATTTCATTTTCATATTTAGTTTAAAAAAGTTTTATCAATTACACTGCGCAACAGCGAAATCGAACGAAAAGTGCTGCTGGACTAATGTGAATTTAATTTTTTTGCGGCTCTGATTACGGAATATTTGGAATTGAATTTTTCCCACTTCATTAGGAAATTTCCCTATTGGAATTAAGTTTTTTGCTGCGCAGTGTAATCGACATTTGCTTGAATCGCTTGTACAACATTGATATTTCCTTTGAATAATTCTCAATTCTCCACAGCTGTGCGAATGAAACGAATTTGTTATTTGCAAAATTATTAAATTAAATTAAATATTGTTATTTGTTTTATTTTGCCTTTTGCTAAATTCTCTGTTAAGGGTGTTCATTATGTTAACGGTTAATCATTTGCATTAGCTGCGAGAGGGACAGGTAGATTGGAAGAGAGGACAGACGACTGTCTCTGTTGGCAGTTCAGCGCTGCAGCTCCTTCCTTTCCGACATGTGCATGGGACGTCAGATTGGGCGTCCCTTTTGTTCGCTCTTGCTGATCTGATGTGCGTTCTCTTTTTGCGACGCGTTGCTGGTTATATTTCGTTTTTGTTTTGCAAGTTTCACTTTTATCAATGTCAGCTTTTTACAGTCTTAAGAAATAGATCTATGATTTGGACCATATGTTTGCGCTGCAATGCAAGCATTTTCGACACTAAGATTGAGCATTTACAGCGAAGTCTAGTAGTATAGTCATGTCCGTCTGTCTTATATCTAAAGATATTCTAACCAACTGCAAGACATGAGTGGGTCTGGAAGGGCATCATTAGCCTCGACTTTCGAAATTAGCCTTTCGTTCTTTACTTTTTTCCGCAAGTTCTTTTTCGCTTGCCTTGGGTTAGCTTCCACTGTATGTTCTTCCTCTAGATTGTCTCATTTTTTGTGCTTCTGCATAAATCATAAGAAATGAAAATTATTGAAATTTATTTTCTGCATCCCCCACATATCAGTAGACACATATCCTATGGTTGAACCTACATATGTACATATTTATGTAGATACATGCATATGTGTGCTATAATTTATTTTATGCCGTATTTTAATATTTCCGTTTCCAAAAAAATCCACAAACGGATGGCAGCGGCTCTAGCAAAAATATTATTTATTCCAGTCCGATAAAAATACATTCGCGCAAAGAAAACAAAAACAACAGGCAGCAGAAAAAAGAAGAAGGAAGGCAGAAGAACACCGAAAAGCAACGAGAAACAAGAATTAGATCGTTTTTCGGTGTTGTTTTGCTTTGCGGTTTCTTGTTCTTGTTTTGCTTTGAAGCAATCTTCAGATTTAAAGCTCTCTCTTTCACTCTCTATGGCATAATTCATTCATTCTGTATCTCTGTTCGCCTCTCACTCTCTTTCTGCTCTTATTGTACGTATGCAGTACGTATACATAGCATATGTGTGTGCTAGTGGGGTGTTTTCAAGGCCAATGCTATTTTGTGTTTGTGCTTTGATCATCAACGTTTTTGTATCACTCTCTCTCTCTCTGTGTAGTGCTACCCTGCACTTAAAATCCTCTGTGTATTGCTGCATTCCCCTTATCAGCAGAGCAAGCAGCGGGACTGATTCGTGTTTAATTCAAAAATAAACTGCCTTTAAAATGTTTATCGCCTTTTGGGTTTTTTTGATGGTATTTATTTTTTTAGTTTATTTTTAGCGCCACACGCGGGCCATTTTTATATTTCTTTTCTTTTTTGTTGTTGCACTTTTTATTGTGTTTCGATAATTAAAAACTTGAGTGATTTAAAGCTTGAAACTTGGAACGGTTCTTTGCTCTCTTTTCTGCTCTCTCTTTAATGAATGAATCTCATTGTACTCTCGAGCTCTCTTCTCCCACTCTCCTTCTCTCTCTCTATCTTGCTGTTGAAGTGTTTGGTCTGCCGGCTTATTTTCTCCGCTGTTTTTCTGGATGTACATATTTGCCGCCCAATGTCAAGGTTAAAATATATTTTCTGTATTCATCGGTGGACGATGAGTTGAGGGCAGGCGGTAAGCAGTTTGTTTTTCTGATTTCCATTCTTCCGCCTCCGCGGCTGCCTAAAACTAACTGTTCTGCAGAAAGCTCTTCCTGCTTGGCTCTCTCTCTTTCTCGCTCTTCTGTATGCACATGATTTGCAGCAGCTGTGAGTGTGGGTGGACGTCTAATCCTCGACTCAGCTTCTCTGTTGCGGCAGTGGCATAGGCCTATCACACAGGCCTATTCCCACCTCCCCTCCCATTAACACCCCTGCCCCCTGCATGGAGCGAAATACTTTCCCGAACATTCTCGTTCTCGCACCAACAAAAAAAATATAGCGCGCGCAATTGCAAATAAATTGCGAAAGGCACGACGAGAATAGATCCAAAAACAACTTCATCAGCAAGGGGCAGCAGCAGAAGCGGGCGCGGTTAACAGCGACGGCAGTATCGTATAGTAAAAACAAAGTCTTAAATTTGCATACATACCCCTTACACGTAATAGAGAGGAACAGAGGTATGGCATGGATGTGTCCAGTGGATAAAGCATATGTAATCTGCGGCGTGAGTGGAAGTCATGGAAGAGAGGAGTTCCTCTAAAGCAATGCACCAAAGCAGTGGTGCCATCTAGTTAACACGCCATCCAGTATACTTGTAGAGCAGTTTTTCGCTATATAGCAGAGTCAGGGGTATCCCCCAGTCGTTTTCCTATTTTCTGTAGTTTATTTTGTTTTTAAATTGTTAAAATGAACATTCTCCCTTCCCCACAGACGGGATCTCTACCATAGTGAATGCGGTTTTTATAGTGTGAAAAACAAAACTAAAACTAAAAATTAACAACTTTCGCACGACTTTTGTTGTTGTGACTGCCAGAGGCAGTGGCAGTGGCAGAGGGAAATATGTCCATATCGGTGTATACTTTATCTGGGCATGGGCCATGGGGCTGGTGCGAAGTCTACGAATATGACTGAGTTATAGTCGTGAAGCATCGCAAAATTTCATTTAAATTGTTTTTGTTTTGTTTTTCTCGTTAGTATAGCGGGGGGTGTCCAACCCTCAACCCCTCGAGCCGCAGAGCTATGCGCTAATTGAGCACGTTCCAAAAACTGTCGTCTAGACGCAAAGTATAAATTTCTGCACTGTACAATTTTTATTATCGCGGAACCCCCATTATATTGACGGCGATTGCTCTGGTTTCCGATGCTGTTTCGGGGCTGTACAGAAAGAATTGGAATAGGTTCTGTTCTGTTGGGGATTTTATATAACATACGTAAAATATATGTACCTACATATGTACATATGTATGTAAGTTAATACATGTATGTAAATACACATACATATGTATATGTATGAATATTTTGTGTGAGGTTAGGTTTCACTTTTTTTTTTAAAAAAAGCGGGCTGGGATTGGAGCAGCGAACCATGAAATTGGATGGGTCTTGGACTGCTACTTGTACATACTATATGTACAAACTCGTACATAGGGGCCGACAGGGCAGACCGTCGAAGGGTTCTACGGGAAGGCAGGGGCCAGGGGGCCTCTAATAAAGCAATTAACGAACTTTTTTGGCAGTCAAATTGAGGAAACATTAAAAAAGCGAGTTCTGACACTTTGGAGTTGGGGCTGACAATGGAACTGTGTCTGCACATGGTTCAGTTCCTGGTTCCTTCTTCCTGGTGAATTATACTAAGCAAAAAATCTGTAACCGCAAATCCCATTTGCAAATTAAGGCACAGATGTAGTGTGTGGGAAGAGAAAAGGAGAGCGGGTCATGGGCGCACCTTTTGTTGAATATCAAATCAAGTATGCATTTCAGAGTACCCCCTGCCCTCTGAGACCGCAAAAGCTATTAATGAAATCTTTGCATACAACTGCATTGAAGCCGTGCCACTCACCCACACCCACATCCACATCCGCACATAAACATTCACATGCATAGGGCGCCTATCGAACGGCGCATGCCTCTGTATCTTGCCCTGATGGACATCAGGAGGAGGTCCCTCCGCCGTCGACGTTCTCAGCGTCATTATTGTTGTATTTTCATTGCCAACAGACAATGCCTGGGCAACTCCACTCCCAGCCCCACCTCAGTACCCACCCACACAAACACCCGCCAACCCACTGATGGAGCCAGAGCCAGGGCCATGGCCATGGCCATCAAGCACACATGTGTGAGCATGTGGAGCTCAGCCATCCATCCGCAGGCTTTTTGCCAACTTAAAAGGCTTCGTTGGCTCAGCATTTTCCATGCTTTGCGTGCCTCTCTTCCGCTCTCCGTTTTCCTTTCACATACGGGGGAACTTTCGTTCCCCCACAGCTTACTCCTCCTGTGACTACTCCACCGCTTCCCTCTTCCTCACTGCTTCCTCCTCATACCAGCATGATGTCGTCTGACGTTCATAAGCCAGGCTCCTCTTGGCATGTGCATGCATCTATGTATATACATACATACATATATATGTATGTGCGCCCTGCGTTGTGTGTGTGTGTTTATCTGTCTGCCTGTTGTGTGTTCGTGTATGCTTTTAGGCTTTTGTGCCGGGCCATTCAGCCAAATGAGAATGAGAGAGAGACCCTCTCTGCATCTCCCCCTGGACTCCACTGCAGGCTGGAATTGCAATCAATATCGTTGTTTCTGCTGTTGTCGAGCAGCTGCCAGACACAAAAAATAGAACGCAACGTGCAACAAAAAAATAAAGGAAAGAGTGGCAACAGTAAAAACGAGCCTGCACCATGTGCGGGGAGGAGTGCAAGGGAGGAAAGGATATACAAGCTGAAAAGCGAAAAGTAAAACAGAACAGGAACAGAAAAAACATGAAATGTTTGTGGAAATGAAACAAGACTGTTTTTTCTGTCCCTCTGTATCTCTATCTACCCTTTTCCCCACTCATTCTTCTTCATACTCTTGCTGCGTCTACCT